AGGTGAAAAAAGACAAGCTGAAAAAGGACATGGTGAACCATGTAAGGAAGACTTCGAATGTCAATGTCCTTTTGTTTGCCATCTTGGTGGTGAAGATAGATTTAAATGCCAACTAACTGATACAAGAGGGGAGGGAGAAACTTGCGATCCTAATTGTGAAGGTAACCCTAATGCTGCGTGCAAGGAAGGTCTAGAATGTTCTACCGATGGTACTTGTCAAGTCGTCGTAGCTAATTTATAACTAGTTATAACTTTTTACTTTAAATTACAGTATGCTATAACTTGTTTATATGCTACAATAATTATTTATCGCTTGTTACAATTTTTATATATGCCGCAACTTAAATTTGTATATCGTAACTTTTACATACTAGTTTAAATTTATTTTTAGATTCATACCAAATTTTTATTTGAAAATATAATAAATTATCGATTTCTTGAGATATAATTTCATTTTGCTAGTGACTGGATGTGAATCGAATAATTTTGTAAGGATACATAATTAATCGGTATTACGAATAGTAGTTTAGTAACTAGTGGAGTATACTGCAAAAATGCATTTGAGTATATAAAATTAGCATACTATATTCATAATATAAGCATCTTTTTGTTATCGGCTGTGATCCCATAGTGATAGGAAGATTTTCGTATGATTGGCTGTTTAAATCAATTTAATTTTTTTAATTTTTTTAATTTTTACATTATTTATACAGTTTAAAATAATTTTTTAAAAAAATAAAACTACAAAGAATAAGCAAAAAAGAAGTATATAAAAACTTTTATTAGGATTATAGAACTCAACTATTAAAAATAATCAAAATTATTTCTGGTTTTAGAGAAGTTACCATAATAGCAACTTTTTAAGATAAATAGAATTTCTTTAAAATAAAAAAAATTTTAATTATTTTTAATAATAAGATTTTACATCATTAACTCTTTATGTCAATCATCAAAACACAAAACTTGTAAAAACAAAATCAAAATTTACATAGAAACTAGTATTAAAATTATGTTTGAAGGCTTAATAAAATAGAAAAAATTTTTGAAATAGACTTAACAAATGTATCAGTAGAAGAAAATAAGTTAAACAACAAGCAAAAAAGAAACAAACTTATTAAATAAATTTTGAAAAATAACAGTTTGAAATGATAGTATAGAACTAAAATTACAGATCTATTTAGAACATATGAATATATAAAAAGACAAATAAATATGTATATATAAATATAAACAAGATTAATATATAAGTATTATAAAATTCATATAATTGTAAACAAACCAATCAAACTAGTATAGAATGCAATTAAATAACAATACAGACAAAGTTAAAAGAATTAATAACATTAAAACTGATAAATAAAAGAACAAAAACAGAGTTAAAACTTATAAACAACAAAGAATTAGAGCAAAAACTAGTAAATAAAGATAATTATTTTAATGCTAAAAACATAATAGCAGTAACATTGTAGAAAACATATTTAATTAAAACTGTAATACTAAAAAAAATATATAAAACAATAATTAAAATAAATAGAAAGATCTAACAAGTATAAAAATATAGACAAAAGAGATAAATTATACAAATTAACATCTATTAGAAATAAAAAATATAAGTATTAAATAAAGATAAATAATATTAAAAGAAAAAATTAACATATCAAATATATATATAAAAAAAATAAACAAAAGACTAAAGCAATAGATGTAGTAATAAATAAAAAAGAATTATAACAGAATATAAATCTAAAAAAAAAACAAAAACAAAAAAAAATTAACATAAAAAAACTATAGTTACAAAAACAATAAGTATATTAATTAAAATAATAGTAACAGACAACTATATAAAAAAAATTAAAGTATTAAAGATAAATATAATATAATAAAACTATAAAAATATAATTACAGTAATTAGAAATTAAAAAGAAGATGTAAAAAAAAAGAAAAAAAAACTTATGATACAGAAAGATAAAAAAACAAAAGTAATTTTATAAAAGTATTACTAAAACAATGCATATAAAGATACTTACAACAAAACAAGACTTAAAAACTATATAGTATATAGTTCTGAAGCCTTATTTTGCTATAAGTATCCTTATATAGTTATCTTTAAATAATGACTACAGTAGTAAAAAAATATATGTAACAAAATTACTAGTATATAATATAACAGATAGTTTGCAAAAAGAAATAATAAAATTTGTTAAAAGCTACTAGTATTTAATAAATATGTTAAAAATATTAAAAAAATATTCAAAAAAATAATACTTAAATTATAATTATATTTAACTATAAATATAGCAAAAAAGAGACAATCAGCAAGATTAA